TATCATAGATTTTATTGTCATCATAAATCTGCCTTTCTGTGACACTTTCCAAAGTGTAGATGCCTTTGCAATGCAATTATATATAGTAACCCTCTGTGGCCTAAGGAAGACCCCCATTGATTTTAAGGTAAATGTTTTAACATTTTATTATCGCGTGGTATCTCAAGAAGCCCTCGATCTTTTTCAATTAACATTTATACCACAACTTGCTATGACGTAAAAAGACCCCTATTGATTTCAATGTCAAAAGGTCAAAGGTCAAGTTAAAAAAAACATTCTGTTTGTATGAAAACCTCTCGTTTCAGAGTAATATCTTAAGGCATTTATGCTTTTTCAATAAAATTTTATATCATAATTCCATATTCCATATGGTCCCGCCCACCTCTCTTTAAGTGTCCCATCGCCAACACCCCCTCCTTCCGACCCGCGGGGCCCTCTTCTCAATATGTACAAGTTCTTCCTTTTTCTTTAAGCAGGGAACACAGTTTGTTTTTTTTTTTTGAATTAGCATGTTAGTAAAGCATTTATACTCGGGTATTCAGAACATTGTAAATGTCGTATCCTCTATTCAGTATATTCAATGTATTTTATTGAAACTCGTAAATACATTCTCCCTTTAGCGTGATGAACAATGTGGAAATGCTTATAAGAGCGGTTTTTAGGTCATACATTGATATAAAATGCAATTAAAAATATTGAAAGACTATACACTTTCCACATTGAGTGACTTGTACAAAGAGAATTGTGCTACTTCAATTTAAAAACACTCTTTTGTTGTTTTTGTAGACTAAGACTTTGCAATAAATGTACATTTTAAAAAATATATTCAACACTCCAACTTTTCAAATGACAGTCAAAATTTGTTTCAGTGGCTTTTTTTTCAGAGAAGTTGGCGGAAAAAAATCTAATTTACTTTGCAATATTATTTTTAAAAACTTGAGAATATAGAGACGTTGATTGTAAATATTTCAACTTAAATGTGCCTAGATATACGCAATAGATGTGCTATTTCCAAAATTTAATCAATAATTGTTGCAAAAATCTGCTGGACCTGTTCAAATTATCTGTTTTGTGTTTTATTTAATATATGTCGGTTGCTTGGTTTGAGTTGATTGGTAAGCTTGATGGAAATTTTCAACTTATGATGTGTAAGTAAACACACTTTCTAAACATTAGTCCTTGGAAATGTTGAAAATAATCTGTCCCTGCCTTCTTCCTACGGTTTTCATTTTTTAGAATGAATACAATAAAGTAACCAATGACCAGGACTTACTCCACCCCTTCCAAAAATCATGTACAAGCAATGATATTCATAAATTTGAAAGAAAGCGGTTCGTTCATTAGTGATTAACCCTACCCAACCCCCATTTCCGAGATATGGATTTTTGTGCTTAATTTTGTGATATTTTTTTTCTTTCGGTAGAATGGGTGGGTGGGGGGGGGGGCAATTTTTTTCCAAGATAGATTTTCATGGTAGTGAAGGACAGATTATTTCCAAGATGATCTTAGGGGCAGATTATTTATTTTCTGCTTCACTTAAAAAAGTCTGAAGAGCAAAAAAAAAAAAAAAAATAAATAAAAAGAAAACATCCAAACTCTATTTTATTAAGAAGGCGAGGGGGACGCTTGTTTCGGTAACAATTAACCCATAATTACATAAAATTTAGCATACCACAGGTTTAAAAAAATATGACTTACAGAAGTGCCTGAGGATGGGAATCGTACCTATTATAAAGGATAGATTATTTATTTTCCTTTCAGTCAAGGACAGATCATGTTATCTAAAGCTGTATTCATTATATAGTCCTGTAGTATATCACTCTGACTGAGACAGTCTGCACTTCTTCTTTTAAAAAAACAGTTTTAATATAATTCTGATATTTCAAGTTTATTTTTTATCCCCATTTTGAAACTCTTCAGACTTTGAGGCTAATACTTCAATATCAACGAAGAATATGTAGGCCCCCTACAGAGCTGATTTCATATGTACCATGTAGTCTTGTGCACTTCATCATTTTTCACCTATCAAAATTATTCTTTTGCATGCTGGAAATAAACAGAGGTTAAAATTTGTATGCACAGTAAATAAACGGGAAAGAAACAGTTGCTTTTACTTGAATTTCAGGATATACAGCGCTGTATCTTAACAATGTCATGAATATGTCAACAACTTCCAGTCAGTTTTGTCCAATGATTTTTTTTATCTCTCACACTAAAGAGCTCACAATTATCAAAGGGAGGTAATTCATTTTTAAATTGAATGCCTGCTATTTTAATCAAAGATTTTTCATATTTATAGACAGAATACCAATCAAGTATTTGCATATGTAATTAAAGTAGATGTCAAATTTTTTATTTCTGTTTGTAACATGAATTGAAGTAGCCGCATTTCATTAAAAAACATTCCCAAATATTGCATTTTTTAAGGAAAAATCAACTTTAGACACCGTTTCCATGGTAACTACTCAACATTCATATGATCTAACAATATTTTTTGAAGTAGTTTATAAGGTGGTACTTTCCAGCCAAATTTGAAAAAAATCTGTGACTATGCGTGCCACAGAAGTTTAAGTGGTTACAGAGAATGGGCCTCAAAGAACAGAATCTGATGCATATACTGAGTATGTGAAAACTTTGAAAACTATACATTAAGTACTATAACTTCCATCCAGTTTCCATAAGTTGTGGTTTGATTTCCCCAATGACAGACATTTTGGAAACCTTCACAAAAATTTGACTCTTATTTACTGTTAGTGAAATTAAGCATAACAAAATTGATTATAATTATAATTATGACCTAAAACTCAATAAGATTTAAATTCAATTTCACATTTTACTCGCAGTATCAGGCATATAAATATACATATGTAAAAGTGCATTAAAAAATAAATATTATTTCAATTGCAATGTAAGCTGATAAGTTCCGATTCTATCATTGTGCTGACCTTTGAGGTTACAGGTGGGCTATTTGCCACGCGTGTCACAGGTGGGGACACGTGTCGCGAAGATGATGCGCTTAACAGATGATGCACGTGTATTTTTTGTGTATTCTATGTGATTAGAGAGGTTTTTCTACCTAGGGGGGACAATGAACTCTCCTCAAGCATGTATACACGTGTTGTCTGTTGTCTCCACAAACTCAATGCAAATTCGGATAAATGGTAGTTGCTGATTCAATTGCAAATAGAACTGATTAAATTTTTTTTATTATACATTGTATAGTGAAACGTTATATCAATCATGGATTAGCATTAAAATTATATTTAGAAATTTAATTCACAACTTTTCAGTAAGTTTTCAATAACTTGAAGGATTTTTTTTCAACGAAGCAATTGAAAAAAATTAAAACGTCTCTGCAAATTTTATTTAACACAACTACCAAGAAATATAGTCAAACTGTTTGACATGATTTCAAAACACTTGCTTCATGTATATATAGTCAAACCGTACATTTGCTATAAAAAAAAATAGATGCGTAGATTGAAACATTTCTTTAAAAATATATTGGACGTAAATAGTGTTGCGACTTTCTAGAAAATTGGTATGAACTTTCAAAACTACATAATTGTGAATCAGAATAACAATTAAACCATACATTGAAAAGCCGTTCACTTCGGTTACAAAAGTTGACATTATATTCGTCGAAATATGAACAGAAAATTTTAAAGTCTGTCAGAAATACATTAATTAAAATCTTATTTATTTCAAAGTGTTGAAAGTAAGAAAAATTGAGTAACATGTACACGAATATGTCAACTTTAGGAACTGAATTAATTTTTAATGTGGCATTTCGTTAGTCTTTCAGTGAATTGCCTGTGCTAGATGGATACATGTAGGTGAGTGACTGCGTTATAAACTAAAACTCTCTCAAACGTTTCATGATTATCTTTAAATTTCTTTATCCCCGTGAGTTTTAAAGGAAATATTTTAATCTGTGTTTTAAAAAGATTCTTGTTCAGTAGAAAAAACATATGTATGAATTATATGCTGTTAGTGGTTATTGCCGGGATTGGCAAGGGAAACAACTCTGTAAAGAAGCACAAGTTTTGCTTATTTATTCATCAGTTCATAACTTAAAACTAATGCTTTAGGACTGTTCACATGTAAAAATTTAAACTGAATAAGTACTAACTCAAAACAAAACTAAAATTGAAATAAAAACTTTCTCATTCAACATAGCTCTAGATGACATGCAAACACATTTTGTTGATCACTGAAGTTTCAGAGCGAACGACTCTAGGCGAATTCAAGGGCAAACACATGAACATACATGTATTGTGTTGATAAGATATGGTGAGAGAAAAGGATTTGATTTCATAAAACAGACAATAATTTGATATTGGCACCTATAGAGCCTCACCTGCATAAGATAATCATGAAATTATATGTATTTAAACAATTAAATGTGTTATTAGATGATTTTTTCATGAAACAATTTACAAACATTTGGTATATTTTTTTAATGTAATGTAACCAGTTTTTGTTTGGCATATTCTACAGTAGATCTTATATAATAAGCTATTTTAGCAGTGGATCACAGTATTGCTTATGGATTCCCTGAGTTAACTTAATAAATGAGTACTGAATGTACATAAAATAAATATTTGTAAAAAATATTAAAAATTTGTTCATATATGTAAAAAAAAAAAAAAGGTGATGAAAGACAGTCATGTACATACCAGTGTACAATACTCAAGAACAAAACAAAAAAAACCCATACATGCAATGTACATGTATTTCAAATAACATTTTAAATACACTCATTCTTGAAAAACCTAAATTAATTGCTCTTTATAAAGATATAAAGTTTAGAAGAGAGTACCCTAATCATTACTAATACATGTTTATGATTGAAAACAATTATCTTCTCTGACAATGTTGAATATATATACTATATTAACAGTAAAAGAATATATATTCCTGAGGAAAAAAAGGGAAGACATGGGTCTTCATCCTTTCAATGAAAGTCCAACATTCTAAAAATTAACTAAATGTGTAAATCACAATCTATTTTTCTGTTTGTGGAACTTGATCAGTTTGTACCTCCAGAAATCTTTGACAGCATCTGAGACATTTAACATACAATTCTTCAAAAACTTCAAATGGTGCCTGCATGAAAATTCAAGAAAAAAAATTCTTATAGGGTTATTGCATAAATATTATTTTAGTTATTATAGCCATTGCAGAACCAATTATCGGGTATTTAAAAGATTCTTAAGACACAGATATATGAAGTTAATATTTTCTCAAATTTTCTGTAAAATATATCTTATATATAATATGCAATAGCATTTCACACGAAAATATAATTAAAATCTTATTCTCTAAGTTACTGAAACATCAAATTTCTGGACAGGTTTGATTGAAACATCCTTGCACTTTCACAAATTTTAATTTTATTCTTAATACTTAAGAAAAGTGGCAATTTTGTTATTATTAAAATATAATAATTAAAATTGTAATTAAAATATATAAGTGGTGATACCATACAGAAAATTTGAGAAAATATTACGTTCAAATCTGTGTCTATATAAGCATCTTATATAGTTTTTAAAAGTATTAAATTGTATATAAAACAATGGCAATCCATATTCAAACAATTCAAACAATAATGGTGATTTAACTGATTATTTATTAATTGACTAAGATAGTCATACTGACCTTGATAATGACATAAAGTGCATGAAAAAAAGTTTGGCAGTATAATTTGGTGGTGCTTTTCTCTTTAGACATCTGAAATTCAATTAGAAAATGACAAAGTGAGAGAAAAATGGAATCCAACAATTTTTTTGGGTATTTACAAATCTAAAAGATAACAACAATGCATGAATTATCAAATCCGCTGTTATACATCAATTGCAGGTAATGTACTTTTATGACATTCATGCTAATTAATCAGTAATTAATTAATGTGTATGTGCTGACTTACCTAATATTGTACAAGTCCATTCCAAGAATAAAATTGAATTTCATAAAATCAGCCTCTGTTATCTGCAAGTTGAAAAGTAAATGTAGTAGCTGTATAGATGATGCACGATACAGGCTAAATTAAGTTTTAGTCCAACTGCTCAGATCAATATGAGTGACCTTTAGATGAAAAACAAATAAGTCAAACCTAATATCATCTTGAATTTGATTGGACTGAAAATTAATACTTCGAGATATCTGACAATTCAAGATATCAAGGGTAAAAAACATATGATTAAAGAAAAAAGATGTTAGGACTTCTAAACCACTTCAATATATCCAAGGTTTTCAAGATATCAATGTTCTGGATATACCAACTGAAACCTCAACTGTATTTATTTTCTCTATAAACTTAATTAATGTATGTGGAAAGCTTCAGCATTCAAAACACCCTAAGCTAACATGGATGGGGATCAATTTTTTTAAATTTCCAAATTGATATAACATATATGTCAAACAGTAGTGCAGAATCATTCAGTGAAAAGAAAAATCCACACACTCTAATATTATATAACACCTGCAATAGCTCACTGGTGACATCACTTTGGGTACGGGTACATGTAATACAATACTGTAAACCTATCAAACAGCTATGGATGAGATGTTATTAATAAATTTTTGTTTTTTTTACTGTGAAAACTTTTTGTAAATTTCTGACTATTATTATGTGATAAACAACCATGATCTGACCGTAATTACATGTAATTTACATGTAGTGTATTAATCTAATTAAGTATTGAGCTATGTATACAGTAACTTAATTTGCATGACTGTAAATGACTGTACAATATGTTTATAATTAGACTGTACATATATACATATCCCCGTATACAGGTATAATTATATGTACCGGTACACTTTACCTGTCTGGCTGTGTGACAGTATCCGTCCAGCATGTTGTTTCTCTCTAACATTTCTATTGTGAATTCATCTGGTGGTTTACCTTCATGCCAGTTTTCAATTCCAGCACTATCAATCCTCCACTGTAAATAGATTGAACCTAGATTAATATATAATACTTGTAAATATGAGGTTTATAATTATTACAGTATCATTCATGCAAATGCATACAGTTAATTTTCTTGGGTCGATCATGATAATTTATCACACAAATCCAATACCTTAAAATTCATACAATTTTTATGTTAATTATTAAATTTTATTCATATTCACAAGCATTTGTTTAAATTTTAGGGAAAAAATTACTTGGAAATATACCTTAATATGTTTATTTGATTGCATGTTTTTTGTTTGCATTTCACATTGTTTCAATATACAGAATAATACATGACACTCGTATTTATCATGAGCATGGAAATAATCTGAATCTGACTTACTTTGTCTTGGAGTCCTTTTGATTTCACTAAATGGTTAAAAATGCCCTCTGACATAGTGGATCGACAGGTATTTCCTGAAAATTTTAGACATATTGAGGCACTTTAATTTTTATAAAGTATATAATTGATTAATCATGACTTTTTTTCTGTCAAATTTATACCACAGACTTGCATATTAATATTCACCACACAAACTCCACAAACTTGGATATTCAATACTTTCTTAATCTTATATGTATGTTCATGCATCCATGGGCTCTGGAAGTTTAATGTAAATATTAAGTATGTTATGAACATACTCAATATTTACAATAACTGAATAACTCCCCGTGTGTTCATGCATCCTAAACCATTTCTTTATATCCTGACTGCATGGTTGTCATTAATAGCCAACAAAAATGACAATGAATTTGCTGAGAGAGAGAGAGAGAGAGATCTGTGTGAATTCTCTACTGAGTTAATGTGGCTCGATGTTTTTATTACATGAAAGCAATTATATTCTTATTTAGAAATGAATTTAGGAAATTTAAAAAATCCCATCTGCTAAACTGCTAAATGCACACATATTCATACTGGTGGCCATAAATTTTTTGGGTGTTTTGGTGTTAATTGTTGTCTTTTAAATTTTTTTAAATAAATTTTCATTTCATGTTTAAAATAAGATGAAACAGATTCATAATTAATCATCGCTGTATTATAATCAGTATATCTACAGATCTTTTCTAGCCTGACGTAATCTCGGTGGAGATTCTCCTGGGCTAGATATTTGGTTTGACGCCCACAGACCAAAAATATAGGCGTCAGACCAAATATCTTGCCCAGCAGAATATCTCTGACTCTGGGACGAGTTTATCCTGACGAGACTAGACTGCCAACACCTTACCTAAACACACAAACAGAACGGAAAATGGTTTATCCATTGGAGATGAGATTAAATTTAAAACTTGTTGTTTTCAGTAACAATACTATCGAGTATTCCACACAATTCTTCAAATGGATTACAATTACTCAATTCTATTTTTGACAGACATTTCTTCTTTCACTTTCGTTTCTACTTATGATCAGTGTTAATCTTGTGCTTCCATTATTTATTATATTGTTAAACGCTTGAGAGATGCCGTTTATGTCAGCTTAACAGCAATGGCGTCTGCATTCGGTCACTTTGGCCGTCGATCGCTAAAAATTTCTTCTTGTTTACAAAAGATATTGCAGTATGATCCACATAACATTGTTCATCGGGCAGCATATGAATGCAAGTTATTTCACTTGGATCGTAAACTGGAAGGTACATAAATAATGAAATTTGACAATGATATAATTTGGTAATTTGGTGTTCGAATTTCCTCATAAGTCTGTTAGTTTATCAAATCAGTGTTAATACTTTACCAATAAACAATTTTTACATAAGCAAAAATTATGTCATTTGTTGGTCAGTGCAAGGTCAATCTGGCGAAACATAATGTTTATACACAGCAACAAATAATAGTTGGTTAGCATTCACAATTACATGTCATTTCCTTTGCCATATTTACTAGCATGTCACAGGTATTGATTCATGTTAATAGACCAACATAACTTATAATTCAGGATCCATTCCAATACAAATGCCAGCTTTGTCACCAACAATGACAGAAGGAACAATAGTTAAATGGCACAAAAAAGAAGGTAATATAGTTCACAATTATAATTTCAACTGTAATATGTATGAAGACGTGGAATTTTTTATTCAAGAAGTGAATTATTTAAATGTGTAGATTTATACATACATTTAGATTTACACATATAATAATTTTATTTAAAGGTGACACTATTTCCCCCGGTGACGTGTTGTGTGATATTCAAACTGACAAGGCTGTAGTATCACTAGACACAGAAGAGGAAGGAACGCTGGCTAAAATTTTGGTAGTACTTAAAAATATTGCTGATATTGCTTTTTAGTACTGGAATATGTGTATTTATCATGTATTTGCTGTTGTTATGTTCCCCAAACGAAGTTGGGGAACATATTGTTTTTACTCTGTTTCTTATTATTATTATTCTTATTATTTTTCTTGAGAGAGAGAGAGAGAGAGATCTGTGTGATCTTGTAAACTACACATCCAACTGTGGTGAAACCTTTTTAGGGTAAGTAGGCAATGTTATTAGATTTAGATCAATGATTTTGCGCGCACGTTTAAAAAGCGCGCACGTGCAAAACTAAAAATGCACACAATATATAATGGATATAACCGTAACTTCTCTTTTTGTGACGAAATGTTTTGAAACTTAAAATGTAAGGATATATTTAGTATGCACAAATGACATTTTCGAAATAGCAAGATCGCATTTCACGTGTGTTCGCTAAAATAAGCTGAAACTAAAGTCTCAATATCTTTTTTGTTTTTTGATAAAATCATTTGAAATTTTGAACATAGTCATACATTAGGGAGATCTACAGCCTGTAATTATATAAGATTTTTCATGAAAGCATGTGCATGCACATGTGCTTGCAAGAGCTCGCACATGCAACACGAGAAATGTCCAATATAATTGATACAGACGTAACTATTAAAATTATTGATGAAATGCTTTGAAACTCATTTTATAAGTATATATTAGTAGTATGCACAAGATGACATGGTCAAAATAGCAATATCGCAATCGCATGCACGTGTGCTTCGCTCTTAACTAAACACAATATCTTTCTTGTTTCTTGAATAAGCCTTTGAAATGAACATAGACCTACATTATGAAGATCTACAGCATGATATATAAGAATTTTCATGAAAGCATGCGCATCGCGTATTCCACACAATTCTTCAAACTTTAAATGGCTATATCTCCTTTGTTTTTTGACGAAATGCATTGAAATTTAAAACATTGTCATGCATTAGGACATCCTAATATGATATAGAAAAAAATCATGAAATCACGCGCATTTGCTGCAATCTGATTGCTTAAACTTGAAATGGCTATAACTCCCTTGTTTATTCAACCAAACAGGATGGGATTTAGAATATAGATAGATGTAAGGGACTTACAAAAGTATGGTCATCATGCACGTGCACGCACGTGCGTGCATTGGAACGAGTGAAATGAAAAATACACTTGAAGTCTTTATTTAGTGATTTTTCATACTTTTGGACTGAATGCTTTAATATATTGTATATTAAAATATGTAGATAGTGAAGACAAGATGATATGATCATAACAAACATGCATTCATTTGCGCACGGGTGCAATGCTAAAATTTGAATATAATTGGTATTTCTGGGAAAACGTTAAAGTAAAAAATGCGCTTGAATTAAGTCGTATAGTAATGAAGCTTACAGGGAATATGGCACCAAAAGGGAGTTAGCTTAATAAAGCTATTTATAGCGTTTTTAACAAAACATTTTTAGTTACAATTAGCACTAGTTGTTTTTAAGGTACTGGTAATGGGTGGTTGTATGAATCAATAATATAAAAACAAGATAGTTTACATTTAAATTAAAAGTGATAATATTTCGATCAGAAACCCGAGAATACAAAGGATGTAAAGATTGGCTCTTTGATTGCGGTGATGGTGGAGGAAGGAGATGACTGGAAAAATGCTGAGATTCCTGAATCATCAGATTCATCATCAGATTCCTCTTCTGAATCATCACAATCCTCCTCTGAGTCCTCGCAATCATCACCATCCTCTGACACAGAGTCAACAAGGGAACCTACTGCAAGGTACAATATATAGATCTCTGGCAAGAAATTTGATATTTATAAACAGCTAGGATTTGAAAAATTGTAGGAGTTATTTGGGGATTCTGTCCTCTGAATTTTACTAGTGTTGGCAAATCGGGCGATTTTTAGTAACCGGTTACTCGCTTCATCTTCCGAAGTAGTTCATGATTTTTCATAAAAGTATCGATATCTATTATTTATCTTATTCTATACTTATCGGTAGTAGTAATGCACAAATATACTGTATACGGACAATATATTTACAATACACACATACGATATCGTCAAAGATTTTCGATTTTAAAATAAAGAAAATTAATAGGGAATTCGACACACAAAGACAAATAAATACGTCACCGTCAATCACCATTTTTTACTTTCTTTTTCAGCCCCCGAAATATGTCGCAATCAAGGAGAATTATTATTTCCATACTCCATAATTAATAATTAATTAATATGTGGAGTGTATAAATCAATGGTTTTAAATAATTTAACAAAGGTGATTTAACAGATTTTGACATCCGCTGTTCTTTTGTTACCACTCCAAGCTTATTATGTCTGCGGCGGCACATTTAAATTAAAATGGGGTAATTATAACTAGGCCTTCAAAATATTATACCCCAGGCAATCAAAGCTATCAATTATATAAACTGTGAAAACTAATCAAAACAATTTGATTCACTACAACCATGCACTAGATCAAATCTAACGGTACCTAAAATTAGGAAAATGTGTAAGTTAGTATACATTTATAAATTATAAAACATTCATTTTCTATGCCTTTACTATGTAGAATTTATTTCATCCGAGTAACCGAATAAAAAATACTCGCAACGTTCGACGGTTAACCGGTTAACAAATCGCATTGCCAACACTAAATTTTACATTCTGATCTAAGCTTACTATCTATATTGTGTTGAGGTTGAGGTGAGAAGTACAAGCTTCTTGTCAAAGTTACACTCAAAAACCATGAGAGAATATGATAGGAATATGTCAGCAAGATAAGAATTGTGTGTCATTTTATTCTAACTGGTTTATTTTTTTGAATAAACCAAAATTGCATCAACATAAACAACTATTTCAGTAAGGTATTTTTTATTTTGAAGGATTGCTTGAGCCCTGCAGCCAGAAAACTTTTAGCAAGAATATAATATTTCCTTTCCACAATATTCCAGCTTCAGTACCTCATGGATTGATTAACAAAGGGTAGGTAGCTCAAATAGCATTAGATATTGGCTTAATATTCTATTCCAGTCAGGGGTAGTACATTTGCATGCAAATCAAATAATGTAAATATAACTTTCTAAATTCATTCATCGTCTTAAAGGAATATGTTCAAACTTTTGAAAACCGACTAGAGAATGTTTTAATGGTTAATTGCCTTGAACAGGTTGAAGTATTAATGTAACTAGTGCTAATTGTAACGGGGTGTATTCGTAATGTAGCAAAAGAAACATGGTGCGATAACTCGTAACTCACTATAACTTATGCATTTACTACGAACAATGTTTAGAGAGTGTACCAATGTAAACATGGCAGGTAAATGTGAATGCATGTGCGTAATGAAAAAATTAATATGGATCTTGTCTACAGATCTATATATTTCAATATACTAAATATTAAGTATTAAATCCAAAAAGGTTTGTTTTATTAATTTAAGTTATTTCCAGGTGCAAATCCTTTTATATTCGTGCACGCATGTGCATACATGAGCATGGTGATCATACCTTCTTGTAAAAGTCCATTGCAAGTATATATTCTAACTGCACGGTGAGGGATTATAGCAGTTTAAACACAATGAGATCAGCACACATACTGTAATATGTATGCATGTGCGTGGAATTTTTTATTCAAGAAGTGAATTATTTAAATGTGTAGATTTATACATACATTTAGATTTACACATATAATAATTTTATTTAAAGTTTAAGACATCAGATTTCCCACGGTGATGTGTTGTGTGATAATTGCTAATACTGACTAAATGGCTATGTTCAAAATTTCAAGGGTATCACTAGAAACACAGAAGAGCGAAGCGCACGTGCATGTGCGTAAAATTTTGGTAGTACTTAAAAATATTGCTGATATTGCTTTTTAGTACTCGAATAATATAAAAACAAGATAGTTTACATTTAAATTAAAAGTGATAATATTTCGATCAGAAACCCGAGAATACAAAGGATGTAAAGATTGGCTCTTTGATTGCGGTGATGGTGCAAGCACGTGCGCGCAAAGATGACCTGAGATTCCTGAATCATCAGATTCATGCCATCTAAAAAGGTTTT